CAATATGGGCAGTTTGGTAGTAGCATGTAGATCTTTTATTGCATGTGCTCTTTGGTATTTACTCAGTGTACAGTATGAAGGAAGAGGCCATCCACTTGTCAAAAAATTGGCCAGGGAAAACTTAATGAATAGCAGAGAAACACTGTCTGATACATTACTGCACAACTTTATGAATAGCCTGGAAACGTTATCTGATACAGCGCAGGAATATGAGCCCTAGGGTCAGAAGACTTTCAAAATACGACTGGGAAAGAGCTGCATCATCAGAGTAGGACCAACCTTACTGATGCAGATCAAGTAAAACTTTCGAGACCTCCATTTGCTGCTGTGGCCTGACTCAAATTGAGGAGAAACGGCTGCAAACATCCATTGATAATCGGAACATGGAATGTACGAAGTATGAATCTAGGAAAATTGAAAGTTGTCAAAAATGAAATAGAATGCATAAAGATTGATATCCTAGGCATTAGTGAGCTGGAATGGATTGGTTTTGGCCATTTTGATTCAGACAACCATATGATCTACTATGCTGGGAATGACAATTTGAAGAGGAATGGCATGGCATTCACCATCACGAAGGATGTTTCAAGATCTGTTCTGAAGTACAGTGCTGTCAGTGATGGGATAATATCCATACGCCTACAAGGAAGACCTGTTAATATGACTATTATTCAGATTTATACACCAGCCACCAAATCCAAAGATGAGGAAATTGAAGATTTTTATCAGCTTCTCTAGTCTGAAATTGACCAAACTTGCAATCAAGATGTGTTAATTATCACTGGTGACTAGAATGCAAAAGTTGGAAACAAAGAAGACTCACTGGTAGTTAGAAAATTTGGACTTGGTGACAGAAATAACACTGGACATCACATGATAGAATTTTCCAAGACCGGCGACTTATTCATTGCAAATACATTTTTTCTACAACACAAACAGTGGTTGTACACATAGACTTCACCAGATGGAATACATAGGAATCAGATTGACTATATCTGTGGCAAGAGACAATGGAAAAGCTCAATATCTTCAGCCAAAACTAGGCCAGGAGCTGATTGTGGAACAGACCATCAACTGCTCATATGCAAGTTCAACTTGAAGACAATTAAAACAAGTCCACGAGAGCCAAAATATGATCTTGAATATATCCCCTGAAGAATAGATTTGATGCACTGAACACCAGTGACTGAAAACCAGAAGAATTGTGGGATGACATCAAGAACATCATCCATGAAGAAAGCAAGATCTCATTAAAAAGATGTGAAAAGATGAAAAGACCAAGATGGATGTCAGAAGAGACTCTGAAATTTGCCCTTGAATGGAGAGTAGCTAAAAAGCAAATGGAAGAAATGACAAGATAAAAGAGCTGAACAGAAGGTTTCAAAGACCAGCTCAAGCAGACAAAGCCAATTACTATAGTGAAATGTGCAAAGACTTGGAGTTAGAAAACCAAAAGGGAAGAACATGCTTAGCATTTCTCAAGCTGAAAGAACTGAGGAAAAAATGTAAGCCTCAAATTGCAATAGTGAAAGATTCTATGGGCAAAATATTGAATGATGCAGGAAGCATCAAAAGAAGATGGAAG